ATATCGTATCGTGACCCCTCTGTCATGATATGTATCGTATCGCCAAATTCTTGCCAATACACAGCCCTATTTAGTAGTATAGTATGTATGGCACCAGGTACATACAAGTATGTATTAGATATATTATGTATATGGTAGGTACCAGGTACATTCCAGGTATAGAATTTTCCCAGAAGGTATCACGTAGGTATCACGTACCTTCCAAGTATAGTATGTATACCATAAGTACCAGGTATGTAAAAGTTGTATCTTGTAGGCAACAGGTTGGTACAGGGTACTTATAAGGTATAGGATTTACCCAGAAGGTACCAGTTACCTCCCAGGTATGGTATGTGTACAGTAGGTACCAGTTACATACCAGGTATAGTATGTATCCAGCAGGTATCAGGTACATGATATACCCAGTAGGTGCCAGTTATATGCAAAGTATAGTATGTATTCAGTAGATACCAGGTCTGTAGTACCTACCAGGTAAGTACTGAGCTGTTTTATGTATTTTCACACAAAAACTTATATCAAAGCTGGAGCCAACAGGCAACTGAATAGTTGAGAAAATAAACGCAGTTACTTTAGTTTTTAATTCTGTTTTGCGTCATTTTGCTCTTTTTTAATGTTTTGTTCTTATGTCCTCAAACCCAAAATTTCAACGCCTCAAAACTCTTCAGCATTCTTCTCTTAAATATTTGGGAGGATTGCAAAACACAACAACGTTGTATGAATTGTGCAGCAATAAGCTGCTTGAATTCTGTTGAAGTGCAAACTGGTGAAAGCCCGACACTGAATGCCAGCTGGCACAAGAACGGGCTGTTTGTTAGTTACAACAGCTGGAGACTGATGCTCAGAAATTACAGCTTCAGAAAAAAAACCTCACTCTTCGATTCAAAAGATTTAGTCTATACTGTGACAACGGCTTTTATCATTTTATTTCTTCACCTGCTGAACAGATGCTTCTGTGAAATGTCTGCGTACAGATGGTTTAGCTTCTGGAAATAAAGTCCAATTGGTCTTTTTTTATTTAGAACTTTGTAAAATCCAAACAGATGAAGCTGTAATAGGTGTAAACAAAGAAATACATTTCAGATAATCTACAACAAAAAAGAACATCTTGCCCACTAACACAGTTTACAACTAACCCTATTCTATTAAGTATCTATACATTGAAATATTTTACGAAAGTACAAACCTTTAGATTTTCTAATCTATGTTGCTAATTTGAAACTGATTTATTTTGAAAGCAGTTGACAATGCTGTGAAAGGTTGTTTAAGCCCATAAGAACAACACAAAGGCATTTCAGTTTGGAACAATTGTGCAGCAGGTGTTGAAATTTATTTGTGCTGGCTCATGAAGCCCTGGAGGAATTCTTCAAAGTGTGGGATGGTGGCTTCCTTTGCTGCCTTTTTTTCATCCGCAATGGGCTCATCAGCTGAGGCGGACTCTGAGACGGGCTCTGAGGCGGGTCTGTTGTGACGCAAACGGCAGTTGTAGTCATACTCGGGGTCGCAGTCAGGATCGGGAAGGATAACGCCGTCCTCGCTGGACTTCAAGGCTTGAATGTTGGGGGGTGAGGTAAACTTGGAACACTTGGGGTCATATGGATGGCAGAAGGGTGTAGATGGAGCCTCAGGGTCAGACTTGACTGGGGTGCAGTCTTTGTCATAGCTCACAAAGCAGTCGTAGCCCTCCTTGGTCTTGCCACGGACACCGAGCTGGTAGCGGACCTGGTTGATTGAATTATTTGCGTGTTTGGTCAAGTAAAAGCATTATTAAACACAAATTTCACATTACTTAATAAACCAAATGCTAGGAATATTAAAACAGTTCAATAAGTAGGACTATACAGAACTAATAAAAGAATGAAACTATTCAAACTGACAAACTTCAGATTCAGACCTGGTGCTCGGGGAGCTGTGGAGGGGGCCTGCGCAGGGCAGCAGCTGCTGCCAGAATGCAGTATGGATTGGTGCGAGGGTCACAGGTCAGAGGAGCAGCAGCAGGACCTGGCTCACCCTTAGGGGTGTACTCCACTATGGGTTTGGTGAAGCTAGCAAGCCTGGTGGCTGTCAGGGGGTTGCAGCCTTTGTCAAAGAGCGGGCTGCATTGCTGCACTCTAGGTGCCTCCCCTACCGCCAGCGGAGCAGGAGCAGCATTGGTCCCACACAGAGGATCCACAGCCGGGTCACAGCTGGGGTACAAGCGGTGATAGAAGCCAGTGGGCGCCTTCTGAACTAGAGGGGGCATGCAGTAGGGGTCTTTGGGATCACAGTGGAGAGCAGCATAGGATGGAGTCGGACCAAGGACTGGGCGGTACCCAAATGCTGATCTGAGGTGATACTGCAGGCATTCCACATCATCAGGGCGACAGATCCTGAGGAGCTCATTCCTCTGCTCAGCATTCAAGAAGGGCTCCAGGACGGGGGCGTAGTAGTAGGACCCAGTGGTGCTCTTCATGGGCATGGGTTGGAAGGGGCTGAGGACGGGAGCCGGCACCTTGGCTGGAGCTAGCTCTGGCTTCGCGGCAGCAGCCTTAGAACCGAGGGGGTAGGTGGTGCAGTAGGGGTCAATGTAGGGGTTGCACATCCTAATGGCACCAGACCTAATGGAAGCAGGCATGGCCACAGAAGCTTTTGGCTTGCTGGTAGACTCGGATATGCATTCTGGATCATCAGAATCGGCACAGGTTCTGTAGATTTCACTAAGATGTTTGAGGTAATGATTGAAGCTGGGCCCTTCCTCAGACCTGTGCTTGTTTTGCAAATAGGCCAGGTACAGACGATCAAGGTCCTCCACCTGAAATATATAATGAAGAGGGGCTTAAACTGAAGAATTCTGATCCAAACAGACCACTTAAGCTTATGCTTTACATTTAAGATGTGGCTTTTAACGGTCCAGTTAAAAATCCTCTGTGCAAATACATGCTCCTTTCCCCCTTTTTTTCCCCCTGTCTAAACAGTAAAACATTAGACTAAAATCTTAGAAAATGCATTCAGGGATTCATTATTGTGACGGGGGCGAAATGAAAAATGAATGCGAAACAAGCTGCACTCACTCCCTCCTGGTTGTGCGAGTCCATAAAGTACTTGTACCATCCCCAGAAGTCAGGCACACGTTGGAACTGGGGCATGGCCAAGACGGGGACGTTCCTTCTGTTGCGAACCAGCTTTTTCAAGTTGGCCACAGCCCCGGCTTTCATATCATCAGACGCTGCAGCCCCTGTGGGGAGTTGGGAAAGTTAAAGTTAACTGAAGTTTGTGTGATCGGTGCCAGAATCCTCACTGCAAGTGAGACTGAACAGATTTCATCTCTCGAAGAAGCACACTCAGACTTCAGATATTTGTAGTTACAAGCAGAGTCAACACATTTTTTTAATTTTGTCTGTACATAATATTAGGGATAATATTTTTGCTGACAAACTCTCACCTTCCTCCTGCCTGTTCTGCTCCAAAGGAATGGCCCACAGAAAGTCTGTAAAAACCACATGCAGGAGCCACATTAGCAGCAGCAACGTTTTGTTAACATGAACCAGATGTTGAGCTTTCCCTCATCATCAGGGAAACTGCTGAGCAACTAATAAGGCTCTTGGTGAAAGAAACGGCAGGTGCTGGAGCTGTGACGCTCTGAAACAAGCAGCATCCTGCAGAATAGACCCTCCCCCGGCTCCTTCATCCCCCCATGCCTCCACGCAGCCTCGAGCATTTTTGTATATCTTTACTGTAGCTTTGAACTGTAGCCTGGTGGAGTTTATGCCACTTCTGGGGGCCTCCTCAGAGTTAACCTATAAAACTACAAAGTAGCAGGCCCTCACACAAACCAATTACCAATAAGGGTGGGGGTGGGGGGCTTTAGTTAGTTTCCGCAGAGGTTTATGATAATAAGAAAACAGCCAAGTCAGCTGATTATCGTGGAAACATCCGGTCATTCAGATTTAGGAATGTGGAAAACTTCCAAGAGCAAAGATTGATGCCTTTTTGTATCAACCTAAATTTTCGGCGCACTAAAGAGCATCATCACAACAAGCTGCTTTACTGCTGCAAAGACTAGGGTAACGATGTCTTTACAGCACTGGCAAAGCATAATGTGCCACTGTCCCGGAGCGGACCGCTGCCAGGCCCAGGTTCCCTTAAAGCATGGTCATCATTTATTTTAAGACAAAGAAAAGCAGCAAAACATTTTCTAACAAAATCTGCTAGCTGTTTGTCTGAAACTCCTTTTAATTAAAAAAAAAAGCCTCGCTGACTTTATGTTTTGTTGTTGTTGGACTAATTACAAAAATTCTAATTAACAAATCTCCTGCATTAATTACATTTTAATAAGAAATAAAAAGACTTTTGTTTTTGAAGAAATGCAGAAATGTAATACTGAGTGCCCTTCGCTGTCACTAATTTACACAGAAAATTCAAATTTTCCTGTAGAATATTCAGACTATAGACTGACAATGGACTTTTCTACGTAGTTTAATTAAATTGTTCTAAAAGTAGCAACAGCTTTGAATGCAATGCAGAGAATAAAAACCCAGTCAAGAGGATTTAAGGGACCATAATTTCTAATTTAAAGTCAGTAAATTGTTTTAAAGAACTATAGATTTGTTGCAACAACTATGCAGATTTTTTTTTTTTTTTTTTTTTGGGAAAAAGAAATTTCGTATAAGCAAAGAAAATCAACAAAAACTGCTTTATTTTTTTATGTTTCAAATAAATAGTTTGAGGGTGTCACGAGATACAGTGAAAGTCCTTTTTTCTAAAAAAAAATAGCTCTTTCGCTGATTTCTTTATTTTTTCATCTTATGCTGAAATATTTTTAATGCTACAGTTTGTTTAAACTCTACAGCACATAAGTTCTAAGTGACAGAAACTAAAATCAAAGATCTGTTTAAATGTGTTTAAAACACCTCACCTGTTAAAAAAATCACCAGCAGGAATCCTGTGTGGATCAGGGAAAGAGATGGCCGTCCAGAACGTCCCATTTTCTGTTTTTTATTACCCTTCTTCCTATAAGAACTGAGAGTAAAACAATAATCAGAATATCTGCAGGAAAAACATCTGGCAATATTATAATGCAGCTCGACTGATTGATCTTCATCTTTTCTGTTTCGTGGAGAGATTTTCAGCTAATTGTTAGATATGGAAATCCTTAATTAGACAATACATTCAGAGGAAAATGAGCAGCTGATGCCAAGACAATTGAAAGGATTGAGGACAAGCTGTAATGGAGCTTTTGATGGAGAGAAATAAGGCTTTGATTGTGAACAAGAATAAACTCAACCATCCAACAGCTAAAAGCTTCAGATTTCCTCATGTTGCTGCACAGATGGCTGCTGAACTACTGCCACTTCTACAGTCACATCTTATTTCTTTTCAAACTTAAAGCAGGTGAAATGCAAGCAGCCTCTCTGAAAATTAACAGTATCACCAGTTCTTACCTGCAAGGAGTTTGTGGCCTCCTGTGATCGACTCTGGATTCAGCAGCTCTGTTGGGAGGGAGGGGAGGTCTGAACACTTCAGTGCTTCACTCCCCTGCATGGGACAAACACACAGGGAAACATTTTTAAGGAGCCCCACTCCACCCCACCTCCTTGATCATTAAAAATATAAAGGCATGTCATGCACACCTTGCATACTGTTAGGCGCTCCAGGATTGGCTCCTGTACGACCAAATATTCAGCACCCTGAGGACGAACCTTCAACGAGCTGCTGCACCGAGGTTCTGTCCTCATGGGTCTGGAATTTGTTTGTGATTTGCAGCCTGACATGAGATGATAGTTTGGGATTTTAAAGTAATAAAAAGCACGTTGTGATGCAGCTGGAAGGACTGTGTGCCGAACTCTGAAGTGATGTTGATTTAATTGTAAAAAGGAAAAGACACGGAGTTATTTCAGGTATTCTTGGCACGTTCCTAAAGACGCAGCAGCAGCCGTAAACAAGAGTAACATCCTCTGCTGCTGAGAAGAACAGTTCACAGCTCTGTTTCTACTGCCGCTTCTTCTTCTCAACAGTTCAGGCGTTTTGAAGTGAGGTTTCTACACATTAGACCCCAGAAATACAGGCTAACACCAGGAGCTTGAAGAAAACAGCTTAAAACGTTAAGAAAGAAAGCTAACTGTCGCAGCAGCAAAGATTATAAATTAACAAAACTTGAGGAGACTCAAAGGGGACGTGAAGGAGACCCAAGATCAGAGGAGCAGTAACTGACTGACTGAGCAGAGAGGGACAGAACTAAACACAAAGATCACACAACAAAGAAAGCATGAAAAAAATAAACCAAAACACAAATACTGACCTGAGGATGTATTTCAATGCTTCAGTTAGTATCTTGCCTGCAGTAGGCCTCAGTTAGGATGTAAGTTTGTAGGAAAAAAAACAGTTTCAACAATTAAAACAACTTAAGCCTCAAAGACTTTCCACCACATCACAGTCTATCATAAAATAATGAGTTAAATTACCTGAAGCACTTTATATCTTTAAAATATATATATGGACCAATTTTTTTCTTTTGGAAGTAAAGAAAACTACTACAATCTGCTTTAACCCCCGCAAAAAATGTGCAAAATCACAGTCATTTCCAGGAAAATATAATCATTGTTCTTATTTAAAAGCATTGCTAGAAGCATTGCATGATGAAATATTGAAGAAACAGAAAATAAATAAAGAAGATAGGCTGTTCCCTTTCAGTCAATTCACTCGGTACAACACATCATGTATGGGAAACCACGCCCCTGCATGTCCTGGCTGAAGCCACCTCTAATCACGCCTTTAGGCAGGTGACGTGATGACAACAGATGTCAGGCTCCGCCTGCACATATATGTATATACTGTCGCCATCACAGTCACTCCTTAGTTTTATTGCTCTTCACCTCACAAGAATACCTACCTCTTCCAACCTAGCTAGTTAGCTGCTGCTAATTAGCTTTGTTTGTTCGAAGGTTCTCAGATTTAGTTTAATGGCTTTTGTTGGTGTCAGCTGCAGCTGCCTACTGGTAACTGTGTCTGCCCGCGGAGCGCTAACTTTGAGAAACCTTTCTTACCTCGACGTAAGAGAGAATTTTGTGGTTCGGGATGAGCACAAAATTACTCAAGAAGAAGCAGAAGTCTTCAGTTTGCCCCGTCCCCAGGGGTGCGGCTTCTCGCTTCACGAAAAGGACCAGCAGGAGGCTTGCCCGGTCTGTTTGGGGATCGTCCACGCTCGTAGGGTGTTGGCGGAACCCGAAGCGTGTGCATTTTGTCGCCTGCTTCGACGCTCAGCCCTGGAGAGACGGGTTAAGTTCCAACAAGGAGGAGCCCTCAGTCGAAGTCCCCGCTTTCAGCTGGGCAGACCAAGTGGAATATATGGAGGGGGTTAGCTGACGGAGAGGAGGAGGCCTCCCAGTTTCATCTGGACCTCCACCACGGAGGGGAGGACCTGCTGGATATCGGCCAGGATGTGCATGATTTGTCGGAAGACAACAATGAACGCTGTCTGAGTCCAGAAGCCCCCGCTGCTACGGGGGGCAAACCAGGAGGACACGTCTTTTCTCTCTTTGTGTCGTCGCGCGGCTCAGAAACTGGAGGTGGAATGGCCTGCTCCCCCTCCTGCACAAAAGCCGTCGCGGTTCGCTGGATTTTTTCTCCCCACTGAACTGACCACGGTGAAAAAACGTCTTCCCATGTTCCCAGACTTTGTCTCTGAGCTGACGTCCTGCTGGACCAAACCTCTGTCCACCCACGTCACAGTGTCCGGTTATGGACTGTATTTGGATTTGGAAGGAGCTGAAAAAGCTGGACTGGTGAACATATCTCCCATGGAGCCGTCCCTGGCAGCGTATTTGGCCCCGTCTCACAACCATGGTGTGAGCGGAACCACCACGCTCCCTTCCAAGCCCTGTAGATTTTCTGCTGCGCAGCTTGAAAAAATCTACAAGGCTCAGGCCACCACCGCTCGCGGTCTGAACTCCATCAGCATGCTCCAGACTTACCAGGCTATGGCTCTGGCGGAGCTCGGAGCCCAGGTACTGGCCGAGAGTCCTCTGCTGCCTCTCTCAAATGATATCAGACTCACCGCGGACTACATCCTCTGTGCGTCCCGCGGCGTAGCGCTCTCCCTGGGCAGAGGGATGGCTTCAACCGTGGTGGTGCAGAGACATTTGTGGTTGACACTCTAATGTCCCCGACAGAGACCGGGCCACATACCTGGATGAACCAGTTATGGCGGCTGGGTTATTCGGTCAGTCTCTCGACATTATTCACGTGAATTTCGAGCTGAGGAAGAAGCAGGCAGAAGCTCTGCGCTGCAATTTCCCCAGATGGGACTCGAGACCCAAGACCAGCACACAGAAGCCGGCCGCACAGCTGCCTCCGGCAAAGAAAACGGTGCTGCCTGGGAGCCTAGGCACCCAGCCACCGCAGCTTCATAACCACGGCCAACCACGGCCAACCCCACCCCCCCCACCCCGTTGCGACCGTGGATTTAACAGACGCTTACTTCCATGTAGCGATTCACCCGGACCACGGAAATTTCTGAGGTTTGCGTTCAAAGGCCTAGGCTACGAATACCTGGTGCTGCCATTCGGTCTGTCGCTGGCACCCCGCACCTTTTCAAAATGTGTCGAAGTGGCGCTATCTCCTCTCAGGGAGAAAGGAGTTTGCCTGTTAGCGTACCTAGATGACTGGGCTCTGATAGCCAGCTCCAAGGAGCAGGCAACAGAGCATCTGTCTCAGGTTCTGTCGTACATTCAGGCTCTGTGTTTTTCTGTAAATTTTCAGAAAAGCTTATTGACTCAGAGTCAGCAGTTTTCTTTCCTCGGGTTAGAAATATGCTCCCTGTTGGGGAGAGCGTGTCTCTCAGAAAACAGCGTAGCTGCGTTTCTCCGCTGCCTCACTCAGTTTCAACTGGGACGCAAACTGCGTTTTCAGACCATTCTGCAACTGTTAGGCATGATGGCTTCTATGATCGTAGTAGTACCACTCGGGCTGCTAAAAATGCGCCGGTTTCAGCCTTGGTCCCGCTCTCACCGGCTGTGTGCATTACGTCACCGCCACATAAAGCTAACGATAACTGCCTCATGCATGAAGGCTCTCAGTCCTTGGAGGGAACCCGGCCTGCTATGCCGAGGCTCACAGATAGGGAGAGTGTCCTTTCGCAAAGTGATATCCACAGACACCTCCCTGGTAGGGTGGGGGGCTCTGTGCAATGGTGCGGCAGTGAGGGGGTTTGGACTCTGAAGCAGTCCAGACTCCACATAAACTGCCTGGAATTGTTAGCGGTTCTGTTAGCACTGAAACAATTCTGTCCAGTTCTGCAGAACCAACATGTTCTGATCAGAACAGACAACACAACTGTAGTGTCATATATAAACAGACAGGGGAATGCTGACTCTTCCCCTGTTGGAACTATCTCACACTCTCTTGCAGTGGTGCAGCATGCATTTCCTGCCTATCACAGCCACTCGCGTTCCTGGGAGACTGAATCTGGGCCCAGATCTACTCTCCGGGGGCAGACCTATGGTGAGGGAGTGGAGGCTGCATCCCTCAGTGGTGGACCAGATTTGGACCATGTTTGGCAGGGCAGCAGTGGATCTCTTTGCCACAGGGGCCAACACCCACTGCCCTCTGTTCTTTTCCATAACGGATCAGAGCGCCCCACTGGGGGTGGATGCTCTAGCCCACCCGTGGCCCAATGTACTGCTGTATGCATTTCCTCTAGTGGAGATGATACTGCCTGTACTAGAGAGGGTACGCAGACAGGGTCTGTCTCTGATTCTGGTGGCGCCCCATTGGCCAGTGAAGTCTTGGTATGCCAAGATAATCAGCCTGCTGGCAGCTCAGCCCTGGCAACTTCCTCTTCGCCAAGATCTCCTCTCTCAGGCGGGGGGTGGGGGGGTATTTCACCCACACCCAGAGTTGTGGAGGCTGCACGCCTACCTGCTGAAAGGTCCTGCTTGCTAGCCAGGGGCCTTCCCCCGGCAGTGGTGGCAACTATCCAGAACGCGAGAGCGCCCTCCACTAGAGGTTTATATACCTACAAGTGGCACGCTTTTGAGCAGTGGTGTGAGGTTAGGCACATTGTCCCGTTTCAGTGCTCTATGGTGGATGTTTTAACATTCCTTCAGGAGCTGCTGGATAAAGGTCTGGCTTTTTCCACAATTAAAGTCTACTTGGCAGCTATCTCTGCTTGCCATGTGGGTTTTGATGGAGTTACGCCAGGTGCTCATACCCTAGCAGTGCGTTTTCTGAAGGGGGTCCATAGGCTGCGGCCTGTTATTAAACCCAGTATTCCTACCTGGGATATTACTGTGGTGCTCGAGGCTCTCTGTGACCCCCCTTTTGAGCCACTGGAGTCTGTGGATTTGAAGTTCCTTTCATATAAAGTTGTGTTGCTATTGGCACTAACAACTGTTAAACGGGTCGGGGATCTCCATGCTCTGTCTGTGAATCCCTCCTGTATTCAGTTTTCACCTGATGGCTCCAAGGTGGTTCTGCATCCAAACTCAGCGTATCTCCCTAAGGTGATACCTTCTAACTACAGCCATGTCT